CCCCCCTCCCATCCGGATGACAAGTCCCTTATCCGGAGGAGGTGGCCCCGGCCATGGGAGCATCGAGCTCATCGCGCTCGCGGCCATGGCGCCGGTCATGCTCGCGACGGTCGTAGTCCCGATCACGGCGCCGATCGAAGTCCCGGTCGCGCGAGTCACGGAGGCGCCCCCGCCCGGACCCACGCCGGTCGCCATACCCGCCACCATAGTAGGCAGATCGTCCGGGGGAAAGGGAACGCGAGCGCGAGCGCGAGCGTGAGTGCGACCGCGACCTCGACCGCGACCTGCCACGGCTAGAGTAGCCATAGCCACCACGGCCGCCGGCACGACGCCCACCGTCCGGCAGGCCCGACCGAGACCGCGACCGCGAACGCGAGTGCGAGTGCGAACGCGATCGGGTCCGCGACCGTGACCTGGACACAGATCGTGAGCGCGAGCCTGAGCGCGAGCCCCGACGGTGCCGGAGCTCAGAATCCCCAGACGCCGACCCACGATCCGGCCGGTCATCCGCCTCGGACTTGGGCTCCTTGCCTTCGGCTACTAGACGCACAAACTCGGCGACGGCCTTCTGCAAGTCGGCATCGCGCCCAGCATGTGCCTCGATGAAGGCCTCCCCTTCCGGGGCTTGTGCCGCAGCCGCCAGGACCATGCTCACATCGGCGCCCGGCGTGCAGGCCAGTGAGTTGGAACGAAGGAAGGAGAAGAGCCCCCGACGCCGGCGCTCCAGCAGCCTCTGTCGGTCGGCCTCCTCGTCAAGGGCCCGCTGGCGGAGCTATCCACGGCAGTTGGACACAGGAGGGAGGTTCGAGAAAAGACACAAGTTAGTACACGGGGCGCGCGCGCACACACACACACACACACACACACACACACACACACACACACACACACACACACACACAGGTGTGCATATTCTCCGGGACAAAGCCACCAGACATGCAGCCCTGCGAAGCGAGGCAAATGGACAGAGGGGCCCCTCGTCAGCAGCAGCAGAAGGGACACGTACATCCTCAAACAAGAAACGCAAGTTGTGATTCTTCAGGTCTTGGCCCCGGCGGTCGGCCAACACCGCGCGGAAGAAGTCCGTCGAGGGGGTCTGTGCAGTGACCACAAAACCGGCCGACTGGAGGATGGCCTCCACCGCCTCGCGGTCCCGCTCGGCGATAGCCACCAGACGAGCCAGCTGGTCGAAGAACAGATCCAGCGGCTGCGAGCCGGAGGAGTTGGACAACATCGCGCGGAAAATGTGCGACTGCCGGATGTTGGCATAAACATCCTCCCAGCGAGTGGTGGCCTCAATTTTGCCCTGGTGCACCATCTCCTCCAGCAACCCCCGGAAGGCGTCGCGGTTTTTGCGGTCCCGGCGCAGGATGGCCCGACGCTCGGCATCAAGCTTGTCCACCTCACGCCGCAGCCGCGGCTCCATGATCTCCCGGTAGAAGGTCAGCTGCTGCAACTTCGACAAGCCCTGCAGCTCGGAATCCTCCATAAAGGCCTTGCTCCGGAGCCACAGGGGCTGGAGCTCGTTGAAGCGCGATTCAATCGAGAAGTTGGGAAGCTGCATGGCCGAGGTGCGATGTTAGACCCGACGCGACAGGAGGGGGAGGGGGGGGGACAAGTGTCGAGGGGGGGCAGCTACTGCACAATGGAAGGCAACAATCCGAAGGACGGGCGCGCGCGTACCGATTCCAACACGGCCTGGAAGCGCCGACGCAGGTCCTCCTCCTGGCGCTTGGCTCGGACCCGGCTGTAATGCTGCATGACGGCCAGATACCGCTCGAAGTGCAGCCGGCGCAGATCCTCCGGCTCGACGGCCAGGAAGGCCGGATCCGCACGGAATGCTTCGGCCACAGACCGCCACCGGTTGGACTTAGTCTGGGCGTTGATGATCGGCATGGACCCAGAGATGTCTTTCTCCAGACGCGCTGCGGCGGCGGCGGCAGCGACCGCCGCCGCCGCTGCCGCCGCTGCCGCGACCGAAGCCGAGGCCGAGGCCGAAGCTGACGTTGCGCCGGAGTCCGCTGGCGCAGAATCCACTGCCGAGGCCGCCGGGGCCGCAGCCTCGCCCGTGGCCGGGTCCGCTGCCGACGCGGCTGCACTTGGCGCCGTGGCCGCCGCCGCCGACGACGACGACGACGATGACGACGATGACAACGCCAACATCTCTGGCAGCATGAAGTGCGTTTCCGGCAGCATGGAGGGAAGCGCTCGGACTAGCTCGATGTCCGACAGCTGGGTGCGCCGGCGGAGCATGTCAAAGAAGCGCGTCCGCGCGGCCGAGAGCTCCTGCAGTCGGCTGACATACGCCGCAGGCGGGACATCCTGATAGCGCTCAAGCAGGTGAGAGAAGTCCTCATCCATGGAGGCCACAATGTCGAGGGCCTCCTTGGCCAGGACATCGGCCGATTGGCCGGCACCCGGCCCCTCGGGGTCCGTGCCAGCCGAGCCACCAGGCCCGGGTGACCCGGGGCGCGTGCTCGGCGCCTCGTCCGGCTCGTCGGCGACATCCACACCGGCAGGCCCGGCGGCGTTGAGCACCGCCAGCGGCACCGGGGTCGGTACCACATCCTCCAAGAAGCGGATGATCTCGGCCTTGCGCTCTTCCAGCGTCGGGATGGTGGTGTAATTCTGCTGGCCGATCACCTCGCGCAGGAGAAGCTCCCAGGTCCACCCACGCCGGCTGTCCGGTCCGAAGGGGCCATGCGGCTTCCGGGCATACGCATCACGCAGCATCAGGCGGAAGAGATACCGCGGATCCGCCGGGTCCAAGCGCTCCGGGCCATGACCAGGCAGGGAGCCTGCCAGTGGGCAAGCAAACAGCAACATGGAGTTAGTGTGGCCCATGGAAAAAAAAAACATGCACAAGAGACAACACAGTGGCCGACGCGACACGAACCCAGAGGAGACATGGCTGTCGGGACGGCCAGGCTGGGGATTGCCGCCGGGACCGTGGGCCGGCCGGCCAGGGCATGCTGCCCGGCCCCCGGCGGGATGATACTCGGTGCCGGGACTCCGGGCAGGACCGGCCGACCAGCCACCACGGAAGCGACTGGCGCCGCCAGCGGCACACTCGGGACCGCCATGGGCCGACCACCACCAACCGGGCCCATCCCGGCCAGGGGAATGCCGGTGATCGGAGTGGCCACCGGGACCCCGACATCTGGCACCACCATCGGGAGCACCGGAGCCACGGGCGGGATCATTGGGACCACCGGGACCACCGGGGCCACCGGGACCGCCGGGACCACCGGGACCGCCGGGGTCGGCGCGGTGGACGCGGGCTTGGGCAGGCGCCCGGCGCGCTCCAGAATCCCGGCGAAGTCAGCCGGAGGGTCCCAGAGGGTTTCCTTGGTCTCGCGGTTGTGGAAGTACACCTTCCCCTCTTCGGTGGTGAAGTCCCTCCAGGGGGAAGCAAGCTGGCATGGGGGGGGGGAGCATACCCGAGAGGCGCCAGGCGTGCGCGCCCGGGGGGGGAGGGGGAGCTCAGTCAGTGGGACAGGCCTATGATGCGGGGGAAGACAGCGAAGCGAGATGGAAAAGCGCAGGCCGGTCGTCAGGGGAAAGGGGCGCACCTCCTCCGCCGTGCGCAGGGCATCAGGGCGCTGGAAAACGCTCTCCTTGGTGATGGAGTTATAGTAGTACGGCCGCCCGGTGGCGGACTTGTACTCGGCCCAGCTGGAAGCCTGTGCGCGGCGTGTGGGTGATTGAGAGACGAAGGGGCAGGGGACAAGTCAGTTGGTGATTACACATCCGACACTTTGGGGAGGAGGGGGGGGGGGGGCGCCAATGTTGAGGCAAACGTACGATCTGACTGGGATCGGGTCCTGACATCGCTGGGGCGTTGGCGGCTCTGCGAGAGGGGGGAATTCACCCGGGTGAGGATCTCAGGGGGGAGGGGGGGGGAGGGAGAGGGGGAAGAGGGGGCGAGGGTCCGGCGAGACCGGGAACGGGACCGTGACTGCTGACGGCTGGGGAAGGGGAAGAAGGGGGGAGGGGGAGGGGGAGGGGGGAGAGAGAGAGGGAGAGACAGAGGGAGGGGCGCACCACTACCGCGAATCGGGGGCGGGGAGGGGCGACAGGGCGAGAGGCAGAGGGGAAGGGAAGCACAAGAGGTTGAGAGAAGAGGGGGGGGGGGGGGGGGACGCTGCCGCCGGGGCACGGCCGGCCCCGATCGGTGGCTAAGTTCCCTTTTTATCGAGCGGAGCCGCGACCCACATCCCCTCCTCCCTCCTCCTCCCCCTTACGGGCGGCTGGGCGGGCCACGGACCGTCTCCGGGACAATTCCCGGGTCCCGGGCAGAACCAACAGGGGTGGGGGAGGCCCAAAAGCGCGGGACAAGGCGCGCGGTGTCATGTGCCAACGAATTGGATGGCAACCGCCTCCCGGCCGCCTGCCGGTGCCTTCGGGTGGGGGCGGTGCAGGGGCGCCAGTGGGAGGTCGTCCCAGCCTGGGGGGGGGGGAAACCTAAACGACCGGCCGCGGCCGGCGCGGCGCGGGGACGGTCGCACGGCCGCGCATGACCTGGGCGTGATCGCCGAGATCGCACCCATGAGGCCAGCGCGCCCGCGCCCACTCTCGGCCTGGAGGACGGGAAAGGGAACGAGGGGAACACAGGACACGGGCCCTCCCGGCTGGCGCGGTGGGGGGGGGGGAGGCACGCATCACTCAGACTGACCGATCTTTGCCCACCGTCGCGGGCATCCGCCACCCCCCC